TACGGTGCCCAATCGAGATTGCAAGAAGTTCATTTTGCAAGTTCGAAAAGATTTTATGCTGCAGAGATTTAAATCTAGGATTACGTTTACGCTTTATGAAATGTTACATTTGGTCTATTTTATTATATGGCGTTGAGTCTTGGACGTTGAAGGTTCCGCAAATGAACAAATTGGAGGCTTTCGAAATTTGGCTATATCAACGAATGTTAAAAATTTCGTATGCGGATCATGTTACGAACATTGAAGTCCTGCAACGCATCAACACTCAACGAGAACTATTATCAAATGTAAAAAGAAAAAAAAACGGCGTATTTTGAACATATAATGCGTGGCGAAAAATACGAGCTTCTATAGAACTGATAGTTCAAGAGAGAATTGAAGGCAACAGAAGTATTGGAAGAAACCAGTTATCATGGTTGAGAAACATCAGGAATTGGACTAGCGTTTCCAACATAGGTGACTTAATGCATGTAGCGACGAACCGTGAAGAGTACAATAACATTGTTGCAAGAATATAACAACAATAACCGCAATCGCCAACGACAAATGACCGCTAACATCTAGAAGTGGATAGGCACATTAGAGAGGAATTTTCATATGAATATACTAAAACTAATTGACATACCCTATATGACAGAAATCGGTCATATTTGACAAAAAAAAAAACATAGACAAGAGATTTATCGCAATACAATGCTATAATTTGCGACTGGAATTATGGTAATGCTATAGCATAATTCCAGTCGCAAATTATAAATTCAGAAGTTTTCTTCAACTTGCTAACTGATTTAGTTAATTTTAACTAAAAAGTTATGGGTACAAATAAATTAAGAATAATAATTTTAATATGTAAAAAATTCGCCTTTTAGATTACAATAGAGAACAATTTAGAGAATGGCATATTCGTACTAAAATATTTTGCACTTTTTCATATTTGATTTTTTTTTAAATAAAAATTACGATAAACGTGAAAATTCCATTTAATTTTGGGAAATGAATTTTCGAAATGTAATACATATAGATACATGAAATAGAATGGGCAAGGGTTTATCGTTTATATATTAATAATGTTTTTAAATATACAGAAAATATTAATAGGTTCTCAATTATATAAGTAAAAAGCTGTTTTGCTATAAATAATGCGAATTTCATGTTGGTATACCTAAAGTTGTCCTAAATTAAAATTTTGTTTCTGCTTTTTTTCCATTAAAAATTAAATTTTGAGTAAAATAACAATTTGAGTGTAAATTTTTTTAAAAGGACAAGTTTCCTTACTATTCAGTTTATGGCCACATTTTTCAGAGTTATACCTCGTATATTAGAATGTAAATATAATAGAGATTTTTATAAAATATTCTATAAAAGAAGTACTTTTTTGTAAAAGAAAATTTGTGAATAAAACTGTTTCACTATGAAACTATTATAATCACATATAACACTGCCAAATATTGTAGGTTCAGAGCAATAGAGACCTTGAAACAAAAACAAATTACCTTATAATGAAATTTCAATATGTGTTTTGAATAGTTTTATTCTTCGAAAATTAATTCACATGTTATGTGTTTAATAACGTTTTGCTATATGGAAAATTTGAGCAAATTTATTATACTTCTAGGAATATAGCATTTAAAAAAATATAGATTTTTAAAATGATTTTATATGCAGAAGTGATGGTGAGGGCCTCAATTCTATAAAGGTTTGTCTTTTAAAATTGTCCCTTATACTGCTAGGTTTAAGTTGAGATCTTATTATTTTATCTTACATTTTTCCTTGCAAATTTCCTAAATTATCTTTAATAAGTTTAACATTACAATATTGTTTTCCATTATAAAAATTCAAAATATAATATCTCTAAAGTTAAATGCATGACTAAATCTAAATAATAGAGTCTTATTAGATTTTTAATATACGAGTATTTTATAATTTTCTGATTGATAATTTATTCAAATTAAATGTTAAACGCTGTAATTTTAAAAATTCCAGAAATATAGTCTTTTCAATACCTATAGTGTTTTTCCTATATTCCATTCAAAATATTTATATGAACACCACTTGATGAAAAAAAAAAATTATAAACCTCCCAATCTAAATATCAACAAATTAGAAAAAGATTCAAAATCAGAAAATAATTTTAAGAAAATCATAATATTAATTTTTTTATATAGTAGGTGCTCGTGCGCATACCCAGGAATTTTTTCATTTGTTGTTCATACAACAATAACATAAGGTATTCCAATAATTCTTTATATTCTCATAAATTAATTTCATATACGTATATACATAACGTTATAAACTCAAACCAGAAGTAATTCTATATAATTTTATACATAAATACTTGCTCAGTTTTAATACAATATTGTTGGCTTCTATATACTTACTTAAAACCTTACCGTTTCATTTTTACTTATACATGTACATTACATGTACCTAAGTATATAAAATTTATATATACAATAGGTACATAAGTATAGAGATAATTTTTTTTTAAAATAATTTTATATGGGTTTGATTGAGCAAGCAATCAAACCTAGGAAAAAAATTAACAATAAATGAAAATCCGAATCAAAAGAACCTCAATCTTATACAAGACTACAATTCCTATGGTATTCATCATTGTTAAATATTCATCATTTATATGCATACAAAAAGTACTATAGAAAAATATTGAAATAAAAAAAGAACCCCCTAATTTTCAAAATAATCTTTTATATTCTGTACATATATATGTACATAAGTAAATCAAATGATATTTTCTTAATTCATCATCACTATTCTTCTGAATTTTTACTACCCATCATTATTAAAAGAAAAAAAATAATAAATTTCCAAACCCATCTTTTTAAAAATTTTCATTTGATTTTTTTATATTTTTTTCGAAATATCTTCTTCAGTCGCATATTTTTAACTGTTTTCCAAAACTATTTTTATATATTTTTAAACTACTACCTGGAGATTTTTTATTCTATACCATATAACAATCATAATCATCATCATCAGCTGAAAAATAATGATTGACAATAATCATAATAATCAACAATCTCATCATAACCGTCATTTTGTTTTTTGTTTTTTACTTTTTTTTTTAAATTATATAACCATACAAATACTTACATACATACGAACATTCGTTTTATATTGTTATATATTTTGAATACTCTTATATTTAATTTAAATAGTTTTGTATTTTTTTATATAAATGTACATATAAATCTCTTATACATGATTTCCAGATTAACAAACCCTCTTTTTTTTTTTGTTTTCAATATTTATTTTCATCTCGCTTTGCATCTTCTTCTCTATTTTGTTTTTAATATTTTATTTTTGTTTAAATATTTTTCTTTTTCTTATTTTTTTACTCTTATATATTTATATGCTACATCACAACAGCAGTTATACAGCAGGCTGCCAGTGTCAATCAGAAGCCTACTAGTATACTGCTGGTTTGCTTCTGATCTGTCTCTTTCATCTACCTACCTATCTACCTCTCATACTTTTACCCACCATATGGTTAAATATTTATTATATACAATATTGTAATGGATGTGTGTGTGTATAAATGACCGAATGATAAAATATATTATTACTTTTTTACTTATTTTGTTTTTGTTGTTTCTTTTAAAATATATTTTTCTTTCACTTTATTCAAAATCTCTACTATATTTGAAATCTATTTTTAGATTGAAATGAATGAAATAGAAAATAATTAATGAACATTATGTTTAAATGTGTGTAGGCAATAGTTTTTTTTTTTATTTTGATAATGCAACCAATCGTATTTATTTGATTTCATACATAAAATAAAAGAAAAATTAATGTAGGCGTTACCATATCGACCATCTTTAAAACTGTATACCGTACCATTTATATTAACGGTGTATATACTTTACTATACTAATAATTTCTTCACTTTGTACATAATATTTTACTTTATTATGTTTTTGTTGTTTTTCTTTGTTATTTTACTTCTCATATTTTATTTATAAGTGCTCTATTAGGCAACAAAAAAAAGAGAAAAAGCTAAAATTTATGTTCTGTTGTTGTTTGTATTTTGTCTCTCTCCCTTGATTCATTTGAAATATTCTAATGTTTGTTTGTTTTTACTTCTTCTCTTCTGTATTTTCACATTTTAGTTCTTCTCTTTGTAATTTTTATTCTTTACTTTTCTTATTCATTGTTTCCTTCTTTCCTTCAGTATGTTGTTGTATACTGTAATGTATACTGTTAATGCTACTCTTTATCTTTAATTTTTATGTTTTTTACTATTCTTTTTTTCTTGTTTTGTTTTTGTAATTTGTTAAAAAATTTTTCTCTGTAGGTACCTTCATTAACACAGCAAACTGTATTCGGAAAATTTAAAAGGAAACTATGAATATATAGAATTACAAAAATAAATTTTAGGGTAAAATTATTGAGAACGAATCGCAGGTACAAATTTTATCCCCACCACTTTTCATTTTATACTTTTGTATATGTTTTTATATATGAGTTAAGTAGCTGATATAGTATAGCTAGTAGTAGTATCGTGTTGCTTTAAACCAGTCTGCAATCAACGATTTTTAGTTATTATCAATCGAGACATTGTAGGAATAAGAGCAATAATACAACAAAGAAAAAATATATAAAAGTGGAAATACTAAAACAAAATATTAAAATATTTTTTTTATTTTTGATCGTGAGAGAATTGTTTTTGTGGTGAAATAAAGAGAGGAAAAATAAATATTACGTATATATGTATGTAATGTTAAGATTACTCTGTGGATTATTTTTATGAACAGAAATAAATAAGTTTTAATAGAATTAATGAATAAAACCGGTTTTGAGATTGCAAAAAAACAAAGAAAATTATTTGCTAAAGAAAACTATTAAAAAAAATTATTGAAAATAATTGAAAGAGAAAAAATATTTAAGTGAATGAAAACATAAAATTTATTTAAGTGAATTAACACCAATAATTTATGAATTGCCAAATATTTGAGAAATTGAATAAGGTTACATAAACAGCTTTTCTTAACTTATTTTTGGAATTAGATTTTTTGTGGAAAAATTATGTCTTCAGTATCTGCATCACCAATTAGTCATATTAGTGTTGATGACGAGATTCAATCAAGAGACGAAAGAGGTTGGTATATATGAAATTTAATTTTAATAAAACTGAACCTATAATAATAATTGATAGTTCTTAATTTATTACAAATATTTTCACATTCAACAAATTACTTATTTAAATCTTTATTACTCTTTTTAATATAGATTATTCACCAGAGTTATTGACAATTAAACAAGAGCGTTCATCAAGTATATCTCCAATGCTCACCCCACCGCATACACCAACTGATGAAAGATTAAGTATAAGCAGTAATTCTAGAAAATCCCAAAATAGCCCACTTTATGAAATGGAACAACTAAGACAACAAAATACAATTAATATTAATGCTTCCGCAAATAATCTTTTACTGCCACCAACACATATTCCAACGCATAATAATATTGGAACATATCAAACATCGCATGGATCTCCACAACATCAACAGCAGCATCAACAACAGCAATCATCTCAAACAAACCATTTAGAATTTCAACATCACCAGCAAGTTCAGCATCGTTTATGGTTGCAACAACAATTACAACAGCAACATCACCAACAACATCATCATCAAACATCAACAGTTCCGTCAACAATTCCAACTACCTATCCAACAATACCTTATCCATCAACAGCTGCAGCTTTAGCAGCATCAGCTGCAACAACACCATCACTTGTCCCCGGTCACCATCATCATCCACATCATCCGGTAACTCAAGTAGCAGCTCAAGCAGCTGTACACCATCAAGCTTTATTAATGAATCAATGGATTCGTAGCGCTGCATTTTATCATCATCAACAGCAAGCTCAACATTTGCATATGCGTCCATATCCAGATATGCAGCGTATACATGCAGCACGTGCTGGTGCTTTAGGTCCCATTAAATTAACTGGCCCAAATGGAACTAGACCAAAGAAACAATTCATTTGTAAATACTGTAATCGTCATTTTACTAAATCTTATAATTTATTAATACATGAACGTACACATACCGATGAACGTCCATATTCATGTGATATTTGTGGTAAAGCATTTCGTCGTCAAGATCATTTACGTGATCATCGTTATATTCATTCGAAAGAAAAACCATTTAAATGTACTGATTGCGGAAAAGGTTTTTGTCAATCAAGAACATTGGCTGTACATAAAGTAACACATTTAGAAGAGGCGCCACATAAATGTCCAATATGTAATAGAACATTTAACCAAAGAGCAAATTTAAAAACACATATGCAAAGTCATGAAAATGGTGTCAATGGTGAAAATAATACTAATAATTCTGAATGTAGCAATAATATCTTAGATGATCAATCAAAACTAATTCATAATACATCTGATTGTTTATTACAAACACAACAAACACAATTACATCATAATCAACAAAATATAATTAATCATACCGAAGGAATAACCAAAGTTAATGGTCCAATATTGGATCTATCACAAAAAATTAAAGATGAATTAAGTAATCAACATCAGCAACAACCAAAGAAAAAAATAGGATTTACAATTGATGAAATTATGCAAAGATAGAATTATAATAGGTGGTTCATCAATATAAATACGAGATTAAATAATTATTTAATGTGGCTAAATGACAAATGGAACTTAATTAAGTTCTTGTTATTGAAGAGATTCGATCACAGAAATTATTCAATTGGAAACGGCATAAAAATTATGAATATAATAAATATTTTGCCGAGGATTTACAAATAATGGAATGAGGACAACGATTATTATATTCCGAAATTTATGATATAAATACGGAATAATAATCAGCAACTGTTGGCAATTTAAGCCAGTTCAATTAAGTTCAAGAGATGTGGCTCGATAATAATGGATTAGGTGGTTTATTTTTTTTGCCAGGAAGATTTATGAAGATAATGTATGTGTAATATTGTTATTACAATATAAATGTTAAACGTATGTGTCAAAATCTGATAAAAAAGAATCATAAAATTCAATTAAAATTTTTAAAACTAAAACCGAACCAAAGATTAATAGAAATTTCACCAATAAATTCTGTTGGTTTGTTCATTAACTATAAATTCAACAATAATATAAAAAAAAATGTATTACTTTTACCTTTATTTCTTTACTTTAAAAAGACTGAATGTAAATTAAGAAAATTATTTAATTTAAATGTTAAATTCAATTATCGTAATTACAACATAATTAAATGTCCCAAATATTGTAATAATGGTAATAAAATTAATAAATTATATTAATCAATGTATGTAATTGAATAAAAAAATAATAATGGATAAATTATAAATTTCCTAATATAAGTATTTTAAAAATTAATTAAATTTATTCTTTAGTTTATAAGTAGCCAAATTATATTTAATTAAAACAAAAATTGTTAAATTTTAAAGAAGAAAAACTTAGTAAATATTGGAAACAAAAATATATTGGTACAAAAATCAAAAATCTAAATTGCTTTTTCTTATGAACAAATGAATTTTTCAAGGTAAAATTTCAGTAGCTAATTATTATTGCAAACGTTAAAGGTATTAGACAGAATTACAGGTAAGAATAAATTTTTACAGTTGTTCATTAATAAATGTTATTAAAAAATTTTAATTTTAAAGGCGTTTTGTATGTAAATTTCTTTATAAATTTTAATTTTACAACATAAATTTGGTATTGCTTCAGAATCTACCTTCCTAACATAAATGAGGGATGTATGTATACCAAAATTTCGGCTTACAGAAGTTAAAATTTTATAATTTGGGCGGTAGCTCATAATAAAGTATTTGTAAATTACTTGTTTTAGTTAAAAATTTTTATTTGCGTTTGAATATTTTTGACTTAAATCTTTTACATAGATCCTTTTATATTTAATAATATTTCCTGGAAAATTTCATATTATTCGATGGTTGTAGTATTAAATAAATGCTTACTATTTTTCAAGCAGTAAATTAAAAGATTTTTGAAACTATTTTTGAGTTAATAATACGCTGTAAAATCCGAGTTGTTGATATTTATTTAAATGCTACGCAATACTAGACATGTTATTCGTATAATTAGAAAGTTATTGAATAATTTAGGTAAGAAGTAAATTAATAATTTTAACAACAGTAAGACCATATAGTAATGTTATCCGATTAATCTTAAAGTAAATGTTCAAAAGAAAAAAACTAAGAATTTAGAACTGGACTCTTTCGAAATATTAAGAAGGAAGCTTATTGTTATATTTAATTACAGCCTCAAATCAAGCCTTTTTTTAGTTTATTTTTTAAATAATATCTTTTGTAACGGGATAATATAAAACTAATTAAATTTTTAGTCAGACATGATATCTGTCCAAGTATTAGTAAACAATTTAACTTTTGTTATGTAGAAACTGTCACAATACTCACAATATAAAAATTAAATTTGATAATAAAAATAAACACAATAACAAATTTATAATGAAATATGCAGCCCGAAATCTGGACAAAGTGACAGTAGTTTTTATTGAATTTTATATAAGATACACGATCATTAAATTAAAATTGATTTTATTAACCAAAGTACAATTGCATTCGGCACTGTATTTTCGATATGCATACGTAATCATGATACAATTTTAAATTAAGAACCAATTACCAACCATTCTGCATATTTCTATATAAATACTTTTATTTAAAAATTATTATTTTTAATATATGAATTTCAAGTTTTTAAATAAGAATTCAATTTAATTTTATTTTTCAATTACTCGCTTTTGTAGCTAATTTAAATTCATTCTTAATTTCTTGTATAATAATAGTATGCTTACATAGAACAATTTTCATAATTATTTCCTTTAAACATTTATGACTAAAAAAAAAATTAAACAATTTTTTTTTATAACCATTTTGGAAATTCCATATTTTAAAAGGTACAACTTTTAAATATAATTTCCTTCTATAGAATCTTAAAATTACTATAATTTTAATATAACCATTATTATATGTTTTGTTCTATGTATAAATACGACATGCAATATGGCAAAAATTATCGATAAACGCAAAACTTATAATGTAATAATTTTCAATTATTATGACTGCTTAGGAAATCCCCAGGATTAATTTTAAATGTTATTTTTAATAGTTTTAACCTTATACAAAAATTAATTATAATATAAATGTAGAGTGATGAAAATGTTTTAACTATTTTTATTACAAAACTTACATAACATTCATTTTTTATTTTTTTTTTTTAAATAATATGATTTTGTAATTGAAGTGAATTTATTTTAATGTGATCTTATTTATAATTATGGTTGAATGTTATAACATTTGAATTTTATTATTAAATAGGCAATCGTATAATTAGAATTTCAAGAATTATTTAATTGAAAAATTACTCAATTTGTTAAGGCTGTTTTTCATTTCTATAATAAAGACGTGCTAAGTTTAAAAACAAAATATTGACGGTATACATTGGAGTCATCAATAATATCGTAAATATTTATTTGGTATTACTGTTAGAAAAATGTTAATATTTTATATAGTTTAATTGTAATTTAGTAAAAAATAGCTTATAAATCGAAAATATTTGTAGATCAAGTTAGTAAAAATTAAACTATTAATTAAAATCGAAGACTATAAATTATTTTGCGTTTTAAAACCAATATTTTTTATTAAAGAAGAAATCTTAGGCTTTGTTTGCTTTGGTTTGGTGCATGCAATTCTTTAAATTACTTCAACTTGTTCCTAGAAAAAATTACACTTTTGAACAAAATTTCGAAGAACATTTCAATTACAAAATTTTTGATTTTTTAATAAGTTCCGAATGGCTCTCTTATTAACATACATACGTATTCTGTGATTAAAATCAATCTTTAGTCCTTTATCTTACATTGACACTAAAATACCCTTGGTTCATATTTACTCTCATATTTAATTTTTTTCACGTATATAACAATTATAAGAAATAAAGAAATAATGGCTTACGTTGCGTATGACTCTTATGTGTAACGGTTAGTAATTGGTATTTAATTTCGAAAATTCTAATTCGTTTTAGTATGTTAAAATTACGGCCTTTCATTTTAAAATGTTTTAGTTTTAAATCACTTTATTAGTGTTTAGAATATGAAAATTTCTAAAGTATATTTGATTGGATCTGCTTTTCTCTTTGATAATGATGACCATTTTGAATTATTTTTTATTGTAATTTTGGTTAATAATTTAGTTTAGGGCATTTTGATATTAATTTATATAATTATAAATCATATTGTTTAATTTTATTCAAGCAAGATTATAAAATTTCAATAATTTAATTTAATTATTAAATTTAATACAAAAAAAAATACTAATGCTTAATAGTAATACTAAATATGTATACCAAATACTAATTTAGTAACTCCTTCCAAATCTAAAAATTTTTGATCTTGAAAAATTTTTAAATTAGTTATTTGTTCATAGTACTGGTTTGAACAACTCAACCAAATTTTAAAGACAGAATCTCTCCAAATTTGCCTCTCTCATGTTATTAGAAAAACAATATTATAACCCTGAGCATATCACACATATTTACAATGGGTTTTCATTTCATTACCGAAAAAATTAAAGTATGTACAATATTTTATAATATTTTAATTTAGTTTATAATAGCATAATAAGTAACTTTTGAATTGTTCCTTATAGTACATTGCTTATAGTAAAGCATAAAAAAAAACCATTATAACATCTTTTTCCTACTATAAAAAGTTGAGAGCCAATAATAAAAATTGGAATCCTTTATTAAATATTTTCCCTTTTAATCTTTATAATATTATCATTCATTATCTTATAGTTGACCTTCATAAAATGAACATAGAATATCCTTAAGAAAAATTATGTTGCAGTATAGTAGATATTAGTAAAAATATCAAATGTCTAAATTTTAAAAATACTTTATGTATAGAGGAAAGAAAAAAGGATTCTCAACTAGGGTGGCATTTTTTGTTTTTGTATTTGTTGCCCGTTTTTTTATTGTTTTTAAAACGCAACGGGATGTAAGTGCTAGGAAAAAAATGTAAAAATTTAAAAATGTATCTATATATAATATGTTATTTAAACATTTATATACAAGGTGAACTAGTAATATGGTTAGTAATGCTCGTTAAAGGCAATACAATTAAATAATTTCCCTTTAACATCTACAGTTTTAAAAGATGTACAAAATTATTAAAAAATTTCATTTAAAATTACAACTTTTGTAATATATAAATTATTTTTAATATTATATAAATAATGTATATATCGTAAATAAATTACATGCATAGAAAATAATACTCTTTTTTTTTTTAAATAATGGAAGAACACAACATGAGTCGTACTCCCTAAAAAACAATGAAACTAAAACCTTAACAAAAATACTATACACATATTATAACTACTTTATACAATGGCATTGACAAGGAACACTACAGGATAACTAAATTTTGTTTTTTTCATATTTTTAAATTTAAATTATTTTGTCATGCCATTTTAAAAAAAAAAATTTATTTTTGTAACTAAAATTATTGTTTATTATTTTGGTACTAATAATCAACTGGAAAATTAAATTTACATTTGCAAGGATCAAAAGGATATAATATGATTATTTATAATGATCCTTATGTATACAAATTTTTATTTTCATTATTAAAATATTATGAGTATTCTTTATTGTATATATAGATTTGTTAATATAAATAAGGATGAAATTGTGTGACGAAATTTTGTACTAAAACTGACACAATGCATGTCCATTGAAAATATAGGGAAAAAAAAGTCTCTTAAGGTGAAACAAATTTAAAATTTTATTCAATTTTTGGTTTGAAAGTTGACATGTTTATTGAAAATATTTTGTAAATATGAAAATATTGTAGAGGATTTAAAAAATTCTAAAATTAATTTGGCTCGTCAATGTTAAGGTTTAGACTAAAAATAATAAATTCAAGAAAATTAAAGATTAGACTGTGTTTTAAACCTATAATGTAGATTAGAATAATTGAATTTTAGCAGAGTTTTCAATATTTTGTAATAATAGTCC